CTCACTTGGAAAAAGTTTTGCACAAAGCCAGACGAAGGATTTGTGGTAAAACTTGGAGTCTAGGTCCCAAACAAATCCACTAGATTCATGTGATGATTGTTGGACCAATGATCACTTATGGTGCAATTGCTTGGTGGCCGAAGGCTTTACAGAATACGGCCTAGGTGAAGCTCTCTGGCTTACAGAGACAGGCTTGTCTGGCTATCAGTGGTGCCATCAGTACCACACCGTCAGCGGCTATGGAGATTCTTTAAGACATACCTCCTCTCCACATTTTTCTGGAGAGAGAGGTTAGATGGACTGCATACAGACTTGTGCACATTACCAATTGCATAAATTAATTAAATGCAGAGTGAAACAGATTGTTGGTTGACACTGGAAGTCACAGCATTCTGGAAATGACCTCTGACTTTATGCCTCCAACTGTCAACTGCGAACTGCCTTATAAAGTACTATTCCCGAGTAGAGAGGACTGGATCCTCCGAGAGAAGGAAATATTAAGAGCAGATAGTTGTTGGTTCACAGATGGATCAAAAATACCTTCCGGTTCTGGTGCAGGTGTTTTTAGTCGCAGACCCAGGACAGAGATATCTACCTGCCTAGAAACTTATGCGACTGTATTTCAAGCGGAAATTTACGCTATTGAATTATGTGTGGAGAGATTGGATGAATCCAACCTCACACACAAGCCAATATAAATATTCTCAGACAGTCAAGCGACGTTGGTAGCTCTTGGCTCCTACCAAGCAACGTCTAAATTGGTAGCAAATTGCCAAAAACGACTCTCCTCGATAGGAAGACTTACCAGATTGTCGCTGGTCTGGATTTCTGGCCATACTGGCCTGGAAGGCAACGAAGCTGCTGACTCCCTTGAAGAGTAGGCTGCTGCAAGCAGTTTCGTCGGACCAGAACCTGTCATTGGCATCGCTGAAGGCTTTGCCAAACAAATTTTGAACACCTGGATGGCAAGAAGGTTTATGGACTTCTGGCAGAATCTTCCAGGATTGGCTCACTCCAAGGCGTTAATTCATCCTTCGAAGCTTAATACCAAACAGATGTTGGACTACAGTAGGGATGAACTACGATGTCTAACAGTTCTTTTTACAGGTCACTGTTATTTGAATCATCATATGCAGAGACTTGGACTGTCGGAAGACAGTGTGTGTCACCTCTGTTTGGGAAATGATGAAACAGCAGAGCATATACTTTGTGCCTGTCCCGCTTGGGACCGAGTCAGGATCATAGAGTTCGGCATAGCCGTACTCTTACCATCTGACCTGAAAGACCACTCACCATACAATTAATCGGTTTCGTTAAAAAGCTGAGTTTATTTGGCCGAGTGTGAATAGGTGTGAGCCACAGTAAACATTTACGGGTTGCGGTGAAGGGTTGAATAGACCCACTCACTTCCTAACGTAACCTAGGCCTGCACCCGTACAAAATTCAACTGAACCAGGGGCTGAAAGTAAACGATCATACTCATCGACGTGTGTTCACCGAATGGGCTTTGGAGCAGTTGGCAATAGACCCCAATTTTCATTTGAAAATCATTTTCAGCGATGAAGCCCATTTCTGGATGAATGGCCACTTGAACAACAAATTCACCTTCTGTTGTGGATTTTGGGCTGCCGTTGTCATTGGTCCATTTTTTTTGAGAACGACGTTGGCCAGGCCATTACTGACAACGGCGAGCACTATAGGTTGATGATCACTAACTTCTTTCCGCCTGAATTGGGTGATCTGGACACCAATGACATGTGATTTCAAAAGGACGGTGCTTCGTGCCACACAGCTCATGCCACATTGGAAATTGTGCACGAGCGACTTGAGGGCATAGTCATCTCACGTGGAAATGATGCGAACTATCAAACTTTTTCTGTGGGGTTTCCTCAAGTCACAGGTGAATGCGAATAAACCACAAACCAGTCATGGAAAATACGACGTTTCGGATGCGCTCCAACCAGAGAAGCCGTGGCATACACATAATGGAAACACATAATGGAAACAAAAGATATTTCAAACGAATGAAAAATTCCGATATCTCACACCCTTTGATTAATTTAAATTTAAAGATAGAAAGCGCTCAATTAAAGACCCTATATGAACAAAAATAGTTATTCAATTATCACATTCGATAGTGATTCCTTTATATCAAGGTAACTCTGTAGATGATCCTTCAAATTATCGACCAATAACTCTCATTCCTACTATTGCAAAAATAATTGAAAAACTAGTTAAGAAAGACTCAATGAATTTCTCCTTCGCCATAACCTTATAAGAAAAAATCAATTTGGATTCCAGAGCAACAAGACCACTCATGATGCAATATTCTCTTTCCTGTTTGAGGTGTATTTCAATATGAATGATGGAGATGCTGCTGCAGCAGTATTTTGTAACCTTACAAAAGCGTTTGGCTGCGATGATCATAAAATACTGCTACGAAAACTGAATATCTATGGATGTAGAGGGATAACACTACGGTGATTTGAGTCGTATCTCAATGATCGCAGTCAGATTGTGAAAACGATCAAATGTTCAAACAGTATTGAAATAAATACTGGTGTACCAGAGGGATCGGTTCTCGGTCCCATATTGTTCCTGTTGTATATTAACGATTTGATGAACATAAGTATATCTGGAACATTCATTCTTTTCACTGACGACACCACTATATTGTGGCGTAGTAAAGGTATAAATATACTCAATGAGACAATAGCTCATGATATACAAAAAATCAAGTCTTGGTGTGATTCCAATCTACTCTCCCTTAATATTTCGAATGTTCACTTCAGAATTTATCTGTAGCGAACGGTATCATTGAAAACAGAGAGTGATAAGGCCAATTTCTGGATGAATGTGTACGTGAACAAACAAAGTTGTCGAATGTGGAACCATACCAATCCACATGAGGTCCAAGAACGTCCAATGCATCCCGAAAAACTAGGCTGTCCATATTTCTTTGAGAACGACATTGGCCAGGCCATCACTGTCATCGGCGAGCACTATAGGTCGATGATTACTAACTTCTTTCGACCTGAATTAGATGATCTGGACACCAACGACACGTGGTTTCAACAGGACGGCGCTACGTGACACACAGCTTATGCCACATTTGAAATTCTGCACCAGTGATTTGAGGGCATGACCATCTCACGTTGAGGTGATGTGAACTTGTCACCGAGATCGTGCAATTCGACTCCGTTGGATTTTTTCATTTACATTTATTTAATGTCACATCAACATCGAGGCTTATTAGCGACAATTCAAATTTTATAGCAGTATTGATTTCTTACAATAAAATTTAATATTCAGTGCAGCAGCTTCATACGTCTCAGAAAGGCAATTAGTTTTCCATAGTTGCAATTTTGTCATAACGCTGCTTCAATTGAAGGGGGGACATCGACCTCAACTCTCTCGTTGTAGTAGGATAAGCACTCAGATAAAATATGTTTGACACTTATTACACAGTCACAAACTTCACATGTTGGAGGGTTATTACCGGTGAGGATGCATTCATGAGTGAGGCGAGTGGGCCCTAGTCGAAAACGTGACAGGATAACTTGCAATTTTCTCGTTTTTGGAAGTGACTTCCAGGGTGAGACCAATGGTTTAATTGCTGATAACGAAGTGGAACCATTCCATTGCTGTTGCCATACGTTACTAAGGATTTATTTGTAAAACGGTTTCAGGTCAGGGTGGGCTATTCTTTTTTCAATATCTGTGAGTGGGTTAGAAATAACATCCTTTGCCAACTGGTCGGCCCTTTCGTTACCGGCTATACCACCATGTGATGGAAATCACATAAAGTGGATACGTTTACTTTTCTCGATGAGTGAGTGAAGCTTATGTTTATTTATTTATTTACCAATATAGGGGTTACAAACAGATTAACAAATCCAATACAGAACTCACTTTATAATTTCAGTTCAAGTGGCCTTTGAGAAAAAAGAATGTAAATTTTAATTTTCTGTAAATTAAATTGGACAATCGAAGAATAACATAATTCTTATAAGAGTGACAGAGACTACAGAAATTATCATAACTCATCAATGAAATTTTTTCCATCCTGCGTTTGAAACAGTCTAAAGAGATTTCAAAGTTTAAGGGAGTCTGGGGAGCAGAGAGCTGAATTAGTTATGTTAGAATTATTATTTATTTTGTTAATATTATTAGTATTTGTATTAGTAGTTCAAGGATCATTATTATTTTTATTATTGTATATGTATATTGGAATATTGTAATGTTGGATTAATAAATAAAGAAAAAGGGTCTTCTACCCCGCTGGTTCGTCCTCCCGCATTGTCGTCGCCCTGTGACGGGGATGTGAGAGGGGGGTGAGTCAGGAGGAGTAGGGGTTCCCTTGGTAATGGTAGCGGTAGATAGAGGGAATATGCTCAATTGAAAGGCTATCGGCCAGGACAAGGAGCAAAGGCAAATTCATGCTCATAATCATAACTCAACTCAAAAGCAACTAAATTATTATTTTATGAAAGCAAATCTGCCTAGCATAATATCGCCAGGTTTATACTATATGCTATACTTATGAAATGCCTGCTCGCAAAAAGTCCCTTATCAATTTACTTGATGCAAAATCCAACATATTTAAAATTGGACTAGAATACTTACTAAAGTGATAACTTTATGGACCATTAAATAATTCTTGAGGTCATGAAGATTGAACATTCCCAGATCATTACTGATGATATAATTCATTTTTGTCAAAACATATAGAGTAAATTATCAATGCTATTACTCAAAAAAAAATCTGAATAAATTTTTCAATTCCCCTGTGAACGGCAAACTCTCTCAAGTCCATTTGTGTGAGTTAAGAGATAATGAGATCTTTTTTTAAAAGTTTGATTCCTAGCACAACCCAGTTGATATGCACAGAACACAAGAACTGAACAGAACATTTTTTAAATTTAGGTAAGTGAAAAGGTATCGATCCTTAGTAAATAGTACCAGCGATGAACTTGTTATCAAACTGTTATTAAACTCCATGAAAGAAAAAATTCTCTATTTATTCTTGAAGAACCCAATATGGACACTACAGAGAATAAAAACTATATACACAGAATTATGTTGATTGGTTAATCCATGATTCATCATGTAGTTCAACAAAACAGTTCAAGTGAAAGTAGTCCAATAAATTGACTGACTTGAACATTACCCTGTTCTCAACATTTTTGCTTCCTTCTTTTCCTGCAATTCTTTTTTCTGATTTTCTTCTACCACTTTCCTTTCTGCCAAAAATTCTCCATACTCTTTGGGATCCTGTTTTTCAACAATTTCAATTCCACATGATCTAGCAACTCCAATAATCATTTTACATACTTCTTCCAATGTTTTCACTTCTAGTGTAGGGTCTTCCTGCTTGATTTTGGCAATTTCGTATACATGTTTTAATGTTATCTTTCCAGATATTTCTCTGCCTAGAATGAACATTCATATATGCAATTATTAATTATTCAATAATGAAAAACAACTTCTTATAAGTATATGGATGACAAGTAAACAAAATCTTAAGATAACTATAAAAATAAAGGTCATTAAAGTATTTCTGATTGAATTAACTTCACACTAGTCAAGTTTATCAGTCAACTAAGCATAATTCTGATAAGAGGTAGGAACACAATGTAGATAGTTGAAAATTGTCAACTCAATACCTTATATAATTTTTCCTCAAGGAAGTTCATTTACTTCACATTCTATTTAGAGCATAAGTATGTTATCTGAATAGTTCAACTTCCTTAGCTTACCAGACCTCTTTCCCTTATGTTTACATAAACTAGGATTCACAGAATAAAAATAATCCTAACATTTACCTGGTTCCATAGCAGCTCGTTGAATGCCTGCAGCTTGCTTTAGAAAGTAAACAACAGGGGGCTTATGAATGACCATCTCATAACTCCGATCAGGATTTACAGTAACTCTAGTTGGTAGGGGAATTCCTTCTTTAATGTCTTTTGTTCTCTCATTGAAATCTTTACAAAACGCTGCTATATTTACTCCCCTCTGAAAAATCAGTTCAATATTAAAGGGTTAAACAGGAAATCCCTTAGATGCATACTTGACCCAGCATTGGACCCAGCGGAGGGCCCGCAGCAGCCATTCCAGCTGGAATATTTGTCCTTAATTTACCATGTTGTACCTTCTCAACTACTTTTTTTGCTGTTTTCAGTCTGGCACTTACTTTTGACATGATTTATTAAAAAATTATAACTTCAATGAAAATATCCTCTAACCTCAAAACTTACTGTCATTTTTTTAAATTTCTCTCTCTCTCTCTCTCTCTCTCTCTCTCTCTAGGTAATCTGTGTCTAGGTTTGCTTCTGTACAGCACATTTAGCCAGCTCAATTCGGGGGTGTTACAGCGTTGATGATCGATGATCATGCTGTAATCCATATTGTTTCTCGGTATAAAATTGTTCTTCTGAGACATCTGATTCGTCTGTATATCTTCATGTGCTACAGGATGAGTGGGCTTAAAACAGATAGTACTAACAATTGGAATGATTAAGATTGGAAATGGGATGGAAATGAATGAAAGTGAAATGATTTGAGGAAAATCATAGTTTGAGTTTGTTGTAGTCTATAAATTGAATTGATATTTTGAATATCGAGAAATTTAAGCCATGGAAAATTATTGTAATACTCATGATGACTTCAAATTCGAAATTTTCATTTTCATCTCATAATTTCGAAACTACGACTTCAAAATGAAAATTTCGACTTAAAAGTCGAAATTTCAACTTTTATCTCGTAATTTCGACTTTTATTTCGTAATTTCGACTTTCATCTCGTAATTTCGACTTTTTTCTCGTAATTTCGACTTTTATCTTGTAATATTTCGACTTTTATCTCGTAATACTTCGACTTTTATCTCGTAATTTTAACTTTTATCTCGTAATTGCGAGTTTTATCTCGAAATTTCGACACTCTTCAAATCACTTCGACAATGCTCCAATCTTCTCATAGTGGTACGTTTTTTTATGAAACAAGATGACAGTTACCGATTTTATTGAATAAGTATTTACGTTTTGTTATGCGATGGGGAATTTATTAATAGGTAAGGAAGTCAATTGCTCGCACTTTGGTTGCTTTGCGGCTAGCTACATTCAATTTCTAGAGGGGGCAATTGCCCCCCGTTGGCAACGCCCTTAATCATCATACTGACTCACAATACCTTTGGACTGGAACGGAAGTAAACTGGGAAAAAAGTCACCAAAGAGCGTTGCGAAACAGGTAGCTTTGAGTTTACGTACGATATACGATAGATATAATATATTTGAATGTTAGTGACTGCTACGACGGCTGCGTTTAGCCGCAGGTAAATGGTTAAGAGAAGAAGATATGAAGAAATGTCAAATATTTTAGACAGTGACAGAAACGAAAAACTTGGTTTGACACTTAGAATACAAAAAAATTGTTTTTGTACCATTTTTGCATTCAAATGACTTCTGGCAAGGATACGATGGGGTAAATGTATATTTTATCAAAACTACCAAATCTTAGGCGAATTCCTTCCTAGATATTGAATCCTCGTTAATAATTTAACATCACACACACACCCTCTTCTATATTATTTGTAAAAACTGAATGTCCTTGTGACATTTCAAGTAAACCCTTTGTTAATAGACAATACTAGTTACCTTGAAACTATACACGGTTTCATTTTCTATAGTGAACAGCCTATCTTCACATGCAAAGCTCATGTCTTCCACATTGACCCGAAGACCAAGAGGTCATGGATGCCAGCTTCAAGTTCGGCCGTCAGTGTATCTTTTTTCTACGATTCGTCCAGAAGCTTATACCGAATAATCAGCGTCGAGGGTCAAAAGGCAGTTATCAATAGTACTGTTACACCAAACATGACCTTTACCAAGACTTCACAAAAGTTTGGGCAATGGTCTGATGTCAGAGCCAATACTGTATACGGACTGGGATTCTCATCTGAAGCTGAACTGCAGAAAGTAAGCTAGTAATTATTTAAAGGTGACCCTGGTTGGAAATGTGTTTTTAGTTTATAGATAAATTTAATGACGTGAAAGAGGCAACGCGGTCGGCAATAAGTAAAGTAACTGCCAATGGAGGAGCTGCTGTGACTCCCGTAACTAGTGCAAATGCAAGCCCGATTACTGCCAGAGCTGCCATCGCAGCAGATTCTTCCACAGACAATTTGTTGGAGCCACCAGGTAAGTTAATGTGTTGTAATACAGTGTAAACAAACTCAAGTCAGCACTATTACCAACTTCTTAATTATTGAAGATACGAGTTTGGTTAAATTAGAGAACTAGTCATGTTTTTTCTGCTGATTAACATGGTGCCAACAGAAAAACAATTGAACATCACATTTTCACATTCATTTAAAAAAATGCATTTTTATTAAATGAGATTCCCTTTAGATTTATACCTCACACAATTTGCACAACTCTTTTCTGAACTTATTTATTTTATCCTAAAATCAAAAGTAATACAGTTATGCGCCTTTTTCACATTCCATCAAGTTTTCCATGAAATTCAAAAACAAAACAACATATATAGGTTCCAATATAAATATATTGCTTTAATTATTGTAAAAAATTAAATTAAATATTCAAATACATTTCTTTACTCACACTTTGGGCACACTTGAAAAACTTTTCTGTA